GACCGGCTCCGGGATCGCGGGCCTCGGCGTTGCCCCCGCGCCTCGCTCAGCCAGTGAGCGGGAACCGGTCTGTACGTGGGATCCGAACCCTCGGACGGGAGCGCCGCCGCGCTTCCCAAGCGGCGCACTATCCAGTGCGCCACCGGGCCGGCCCCTGAAATATCTTTTATCTAGCATTCAAGTCAGTTGTATTTCTATACAACAGCAACAAATAATTAGAAAATGAAATAAGGAAGAATGCTATTTACAAAAGCTTAAAAAATTAGGAGATATCTAGGAATTAATCTAATAAAAGACATGAAAGATTTGTGTTCAGAAAATTATAAATGTTGAGATAAATTAAAGAAGATTTAAATAGGTAAGAATATGCCTCATTCATGGATTGTTAGGATATTAAATCTTCCCAAATTTATTTGTAGATCCAATAAAAATCCCACTCAGAATTCCTGAGGTTTTTAAAAATAAAGATTGATAAGGTGACTTCTAAAATTTGTATCAAAATGTGGAGGACCATGATTAGACAAGACAATCTTAAAGAAGAAAAAATTAGAGGTCATACCAGATAACAAGGTGTATTATAAAGAAAGACAATATGACATTGGTGCAAGGCTAAACAAATGGAATAGTGAAAGGTAATAGTCCAAAATCAGACCTATATCACTCTGGACAGTTGGTTTATGACAATGATGGTAGTGCAGGACAGTAGGGAAAGGATAGTCTTTTGCATAAATGGTGCTGGGTTAATTGGATTCCTATATGGAAAAAAATTAGTTCTCAGGTGGATTTTACATGTAAGACATTAAAGAAGATGACATGGAAGAATATCTTCATGACCTTGGGGTAGAGAAATACTTCTTGAACTCAAAAAGTACTAATTATAAAGAAAAAGATTGATAAATTGTACTGCACTAAAAGTAGGAATGTCTGTTTATTTAAAGATATCATTAAAAGAGTGAAGGGCAAGCCACAGAGTGATATGATATATGCAATACATTTAACCAATAAAGGGCTCTATTCTAAATACAAAAATAATTCCTATAAATCAATACAAAAAGATACAGACAATCAGATAGAAGAATGGGTCTCTACTGCAGTAACTTTGTAGAAAAGGATATCCAAATGACCAGTAAACATGTCAAAAGTTCTCAACCTTATTAATCATCAAGAAAATGCAAATTAAAATTACAGTGTGATTTTACACTGTACAATATACCTGCCAAGATGACTAAAAGGTAAAAAGGAAAAAGAAACTTAACAATACCAAATATTGGCGAGGATGTGGAGAATCCAGATCTTTGATGTTCTGCTAGAGGGAGTGTAAATTGGCAGAAGCACTTTGGAAAATTGTTTGGCAGTATCTAAGACCCAACCATTTACTCCTAGGAATATTCCCAACAGAAATACACACATATATATGACCAAAAAATCATACACAAAAATGTTCATAGCCCTATTATTTTTAATACCTCCTCAAATGGAAACAACCCAAATATATATCAATAGAAAAATGGATAAATAAGTTGTGGTATTTTCATATAATCAAATATTCAGAGGTGAGAGATAAGGGTAGCCTGGACTGGGATGATAGTGGTGGAGAGGGAGAAAAATGGATGGATTTGGCATGTTTTGTAGGCAGAGGTGACTGAACATGATTAGGAATCAGTGTGTTCAGAGGTGACTGAACATGATTAGGAATCATGAATAATTTATAGATTTTGGCTTGAGCAGTTATTTCTCACCATTTCTATTATTTTCATTGTCTCCTACCTAATAAACTACTGCATTGCCCTATTTTTCACATAACAGCCTAGAGTGATCTCTTAAAAACATACATAAGATTAGCTCATTCCCCCTGCTTAATACCCTTCAGTGACTCCCCATAAACTTAAAATAATGTGTAAACTCTACTGTGTCCCTCTTTACATGGCCTACCCATGTCTAGATCTCTGACATCATCATATACCACTATTCCTCTTTTTAAATATGCTCTAGGCACACTAGCTTCTTTTTGTTCTTTGAAACAAGTTTACCCCTGCTTTAGAATCTTGCCCTTTGCTTTGGATAGTTTCTTTTGTCATTAAGATCTCAGCTCAAAAGATAATTCTCTAGAGAGATCTTCCCTGGCCATCCAATCTAAAATACTCTCCTCCTCTCATAAATATGCTCTAGGCACACTAGCTTCTTTTTGTTCTTTGAAACAAGTTTACCCCTGCTTTAGAATCTTGCCCTTTGCTTTGGATAGTTTCGTTTGTCATTAAGATCTCAGCTCAGAAGATAATTCTCTAGAGAGATCTTCCCTGGCCATCCAATCTAAAATACTCTCCTC